CGATGCTCAACCACTGAGCCACATTAGTCAGGCTGTACCACAGCTTTTTTATCCACTCATCTACTGAGGGCACTTAGGCTGTTTCCAAATCTTAGCTATTATAAATAGTGCTGCTATGAACATAGGGCTGCATATATTCTTTCTGACTGGTGTTTTGGGGTTTTTAGGATATATTCCTAGAAGTGGGGTTACTAGGTCAAACAGCAGTTACATTTAAAAAATATATATGTATATATAATCAAATTAATGAACTGTAGAATATCCAAACAAAAGACTGTACATAGGTAAAGAAAACAAAGTCACTACAACTACTTTCAACATCATAAATTAATCTCACAAGGTTGAGAAAAAGAAGCATGACTCAGCCCTCACAGTTTGGCTTAGTTGGTCGGGAGTCGTCCTGTGCACCAAAAGGTTGGTGGTTCAATTCCCAGTGGGGAGGCAGCCAATCAATGTTCGCTCTCACATCAATGTTTCTCTCTCTCTCTCCCTTCCACTCTCTCTAAAAATCAATTAAAAATCTTAAAAAAAAAAGCACGACATAAAATATTCAACAGAATGACTTCATATTTCCAAGTTCAGAATGAAGCAAAATTACATAGTTTAGGGATGCATATATACATGATAAAAGTACAAAGTGAATGATTATCACAAAAGTCAGATTAAAAGGTACCTTTAAAAGGAAAGAAAGGATACTGTAGGGCAGTGGTTCTCAACCTTCTGGCCCTTTCAATACAGTTCCTCATGTGGTGACCCAACCATAAGATTATTTTCGTTGCTACTTCATATCTGTCATGTTGCTATTGTCATGAATCGTCATGTACATATCTGATAGGCAGGATGGTCTTAGGCGACCCCTGTGAAAGGGTCGTTCGACCGCCAAAGGGGTTGTGACCCACACACAGGTCGAGAACCGCTGCTGTGGGGGAAGACGGGGTGCTGATTGAGAGCTGATAATGGGAAGTCTTTCTGAGTCATGGAAATGTCCTATTTCTTTATCTGGGTGTCAGTTACACATATATAAACTTTATAATTAATCATTTGAAACGCTGCTTACATGTTCCAGGCACCTTTGTGGGTGCATATTCTATTTCATGATTGAGAATGTTTAAAAAAATATACAAAGAAAAATGGCCAGCCCGGCCCGCATGGCTCAGTGGTTGAGCATCAACCTATGAAACAGGAAGTCACGGTTCCATTCCCTGGTCAGGGCACATGCCCAGGTTGGGAGCTCCATCCCCAGTGTGGATTGTGCAGGAGGCAGCTGATCAATGATTCTCTCTCATCATTGATGTTTCCTTCTCTCTCGCCCTCTCCCTTCCTCTCTGAAATCAACAAAACATGTATTTTTTTAAAAATCGTATTCCTGCCCTAACCGGTTTGGCTCAGTGGGATAGAGCGTCGGCCTGCGGACTGAAGGGCCCCGGGTTCGATTCCGGTCAAGGGCATGGACCTTGGTTGTGGGCACATCCCCAGTGGGGGGCGTGCAGGAGGCAGCTGATCGATGTTTCTCTCTCATCGATGTTTCTAACTCTCTATCCCTCTCTGTAGAAAATCAATAAACTATATATATTTAAAAATCATATTCCTTAAAACAGTTTGGGGGTGGGGGGTGGTAAACTGGTAATCTGGTTTTTCAGGGCGGAACCCCGTTTTGGCAAACGCAGATTCTGCGAACGGGCCACCGTGACACCTATAAACCCCCTGGTTTTCCGGTGCTGGCGCCACCGATCCCCCGGCCCGCGCCCTCTGGGCGAAACGCCCCTTTGCCTCGGGAGAGGAGAGGAAGGAGCTGCCGGCCGGGTTCCCCAGGCACAGGAAGTGGCTGTTGGTCCCTGACAGGCCTGTGGCGGGGTGGGACCCGGTGTCCGCTGTCCCGGACCTTGAACCCCTGGCTTTCACCCACGGGCACGGCGGCACGGCCGAGGCCAGTGAAGGGCGGGCCTTGGCGTCGCTCAAAGTCGGATTCGATGAGCACAGGGACTACAGCCAGCTTTCCGGGCTCCGAGGGAGGAAATAATTTTAGCATTTTTTTTGAAGCCTGAAAAGTATTCTTTAATGGGGTGGCGCCCGGCCCCACACCCCGCAAATCTAGGAGCGTTTCCGGGCTCCCGAGGGCCGGCCAAGTCGTCCTCACCCTGGCCTGGCGGCCTGGCCTCTCCGGTCCCGTCAGTTAGGCGACAACGAGGGTCCATCAAGAAGCTTCCACTGAGAAGTCCAGTGACGCTCTCGGGGCCCTTTAGGCCTCGAGGCCTGCTCGCTCCAGGCACCTGGTTCCTCTGCGCATGCGCCACGCTCTCCCCGCCCCTCCTACCGAGACTCCCACGTGACTAGCAGCCAATGCTGCCCGCCTCGTCCTTTGCAGCTCCCGCCCTCCGTCCACGCATGCGCATGTGCTTCTCTTGCTTCACACACACACACACACACACACACACACACACACACACACACACACACACACACGCAGAATGGAGTATTATTCAGCCATAAAAAAGAAGGAAACCCTACCATTTGCGACATGGATGGAACTGGAAGGCATTATACCAGGTGCAATTAGACAGAAAAAGACTAGCCAGTGGTTAGAACGGCAGCCGCGCCCCAAGGGTCACAGGTTCAATTCCCTGTCAGGGAAGGGTTGCCTGGGTTGTGGGTTCTGTAAGGTAGGCAACCGGTCTGTGTTGTGTGTGTGTGCGTGTGTCTCCCTCCCTTGACTCCCTCTGAAAAACAGTGGAAAAAATATCCTCAGGTGAGGATTAATAAACAAACAAAAAAAAAAAGAGGGGAAAAATAGTCATTTATACGTGAACATTTTTTTTAATTTTTAATAATAATAATAGTAACAGAGTAGAATGGTGGTTGCCAGGAGCTGGAAATGGGGAGATGTAGGTGAAAGGATATAAACTTTCAGTTAAGAAGAATAAATTCTAAGGATCTGATTTATATCATGGTGCTTATA